TTAAATCCTAGTATATATACACACCGCCATTTGTAGATGCTATAGCTTTCATGCAAACCAATTCATTTACACGTATTGGGATTTTTTTTTTTTTTTTTTTTAAGCATAGACATGTGGCAGAATACATTTTTGTCCTAAATTTATGAAGAAATTGGATTTCTTAAATGTTTTTAACTGGAAAGGTTTTATAGCAAAAAGTAAAAAATATTGGGTTTTTTTTTTTCAAAATGGTTGGTCTTTTTTTTTGTTATAGAGCAAAAACTAAAAAACACAGATGATCAAATACCACCAAAAAAAGCTCTATTGGAGGGGGGGGGGGGGGGAGGGGGGGAGACATACATTTCATTTATGTACAGCATTGCATGACCGCGCAATTGTCAGTTAAAGTAATGCATCGCCAAAATGCGAAAAAAAAAAAGACTGGTCAGGATGGGGGGGGGCTAAATTTTCTAAAGGGCATGTGGTTAAAACAAAAAACTTTAATTACACAGGTTCTGGGGCTGTGTAAGGTGGTAATTAAACTCACTTAGTGCCTTATCTGAGTTAAATTGGCCTCAGAAAACAGTTTTTTTTCCACACTACACTTTTTGTGAATGAGCAGGGGTACCATGTACCCCATAGTCATTCACATGGTGAGGGGGCAGGATCTGGGGGCCTTGTTACAGGGAGCTTCCAGATTTTGATAAGGCCCCTGCCCGCAGACTCCCCACAATCACCAGCTAGGGTTGTGGGGAAGAGATCCTTGTCCCCATCAACCTGGGGACAAGGTACTTTGGGAGGGGTGGAGCCCTCCTTGCACCAAAGCAACCCCCCATGTTGCAGGCACGTGCTCACCCCCCCCCCCCCCCTTCCTGACCTGCCGGGCTGCATGCTCTGATAAGGGTCTGGTATGGATTTTGGGGGGGGCGGACCCCCACACCATTTTTTTTTTAAATTTTGGCATTGAAGTGCCCCTCAAAATCCATACCAGACCTGAGGGGCTTGGTATGGATGGGAGGGGGGACCCCACACCTTTTTTTAAAAAAATGTATTATGATGCCAGTTTCTAAATGCAATTACAGCTTTTTTTTTCACTATAGCTCAGAGATTCAGCTGTCACTTCCCCCAGCTAACAGAGAGAAAGTTTTCTTTTAGTTTGTTTCCCCAAGTTAAGAGAAACAAAGTATACTTTTTGTTTCTTAAAAGAAACAAAACATTAACTCCAGGGAAAGTGACAGCTAATTCTATTAACTATAGTGAAGAAAAAAAAAAAAAAGCTGGCAATTGCATTTAAAAATCAGCACCGACATACACTTCGTATTGAGAAAAAAAATTTGTAAACTGAGGCATTATTTCCAATGGATTTTTATTTGTAAACCGAAAATACGTTAACTGAGGCGCTTGTAAACCGAGGCATTACTGTATTTCATGAACATGAGTTCACAAAGCCCCCAGAAACCAGGGGAGACACTATGCTAGGTTGTGCAGAAGAGGGGACCACAAATCCCAGCATACCTCGCCACCTCATGAGACTAGTGGGTTCCCCAGACACAGCCCCGTCATCAATCAGTACACAGCCCAGCCCTGATACACACAATACGAAGACAGCACTGACCGCTCTCCTACCAGTGTCCACTCCTCTCGGTTTCCGGTGATCGTCGCAACTTCGAGCCAAACTCACAAAACTAAGGAGCCCTGCAGAACCCTGCCCTCCTGCGGCCAATCAGTGTCAGAGAGGCACACGGGCCGACCAATTGAAAGCGCGATATCCAAGTCATTCTTCGTCTACTACTGATATGGACGGTGTAGCCAATCAGCGAGCGTCTAACTGTCTCCCTTATCTGTGATTGCTCCGCCTGCATAGAGGAGCGTGAGGCTGGCGATAGAGCTGGAGGACGGATGTGTAAGAGGAGGGGCTGTGTGTGCGTCGTGTCCTGTATATACACACATATATGTGGGGCTGTGTGAAGGATGGATTTTATCTGAGGGTGCTTGGTGCCCCATATGTGGGCTGTGATATGGTGTCCACTCAGAGGGTGACTTCACCTTCTAAGGGCTTTGTAACCACTCGCCTACCGGGCACTCCCCCCTCCCCCCAGGCTAATTTTCAGCTCTGTTGCACTTTGAATGACAATTGCGCAGTCATGCAACACTGTGCTCATATGATTTTTTTTTGTCACACAAATAGAGCTTTCTGTTGGTGGTATTTACTTGGGTGTTTTATTTTATGCACTGTAAACAAAAAAGAGCAAAAAAAATTGAAAATAAAATGTTTTTCTTTGTATTATAAAATTTTGCAAACAGTACATTTCCTCCTCTGATATGTGTTGATGAGGCTGCACTGAGAGGCAACACTGATGGCCACTGATGGGTACTGAGTGACAGCACTGATGGTTGGCACTGATGGGCACCTTTGGGGTTGCCCTGATAATCAGGGTACTGATCATCAGTGTCCTGATTATCAGTGCAGATGTCCTCTGTGACACTTGCTGGTTATCAGCAGTTCTTTCCTCACGCTGTGACAGCGTGCGGAAAGTGCTTCCGATAACCGGCAACTGTATTTACCTTGTGATCAGCTGTGTCATTGGACACGGTTGATCACATGGTAAAAGACTGCTGTGGTTGGCATTTTACCTAGTCCTGTGTATCAGCAGTGTCCTATGTCATATGAGAGCTGTCATATGACCAGGGGCAGACTGACAACTCATGGGGCCCCGGGCAATAGGGGATCATGGGGCCTCTGTGTCCTTGCCCAAACTAAAAAAAGCCTATGAAAAAGGTACCAGGGGCATGTCATGGGGCCCCCCTACTGACCCCGGGTCCTCGGGCAGTGCCCGAGTTTCCAAATGGTCAGTCCACCCCTGCATATGACACTCTCCCAGAACTGGGCAACCGCAATGTAGCCATCATTCGGCTATAGCCAGGTTGACAAGTGGTTAAAGTGGAACTTCTCTTTCTCAGTCAACATGGACTATCTTTAACCACTTGCCCTCCAGAGGATTTACCCCCCCCCCCTTCCTGACCAGGCCATTTTTTGCATTATTGCGCTGCGTTTCTTTAACTGACAATTGCACTGTCATGCAACACTGCACCCAAATTAAATTAAATGTATGCCCTTTTTTCTCCATGAATATTGATTTCTTTCGGTGGTATTTGATCGCCTGTGCGTTTTTTATTTTTGTGCTATAAACAAAAAAAGTGCAAATTTTGAGAAAAACAGTATTTTTGACTTTTTGCTATAAAACATGTCCAGTAAAAAAAATTTAAAAAGTCAAATTTGTCATAAATTTAGGCCAAAATGTATTCTGCTTCATGTCTTTGCTAAAAAAAATTAATTGGTTTACGTAAAAGTTATAGAATTTACAAATGGCGGTTTATATACTGGGGTTTTTTTTATTTTTACTGGTAATGGTGGCGATCAGTGACTTGCAGCAGGACTGTGGCGGGCATTCTCACACTGGAGGGAACTGACTTGATGTCATTCCCCAAGTGACACCAATACAGTGATCAGTGCTAATAAAAAGCACTGACACTGTACTAATGGCACTGGGCAAGAAGGGGTTAACATTTGGGGCAATCAAAGGGTTAACTGTCTGCTGTTTTGCTGTGTGTATGATTTACTGTAAGCACACTGCTTTGCATGGCTCTGCTATGCAAAGCCATGCATAGCAGTGTGCAGGAGCTGACAGGGGAGAGATCTGTATTGTTTACTTACAGTTCTCTCCCTCCGTTGGTAACGCTCCTTGAGTAATCACCAGCCAGGACCCAGTGATTGACAGCCGAGGCCACGAATAGTGGCAGGGGTAGGGCACGTGCGGCTCACCCATGCCCCCCTTTCTGGAAATGCAAAATCATGTATATATACGTGATTTTGCGCACCCATGCCGCTCTGTATTAGTATTACTACTATAGGGCAGACGGGAATGTGGTTAAACCTTTTGCCGCTAGGATTAGTAAACAGATAGGAAAGTATATCATATTTCCTTGTTTTAAACTTTTTTTTTAACATTTCTTTAGTTCCTGGTTTCCTTGACTAGGTAAATGATACCGTACATCCCAGCAGTCTTCAGGAGAGGAGGGAGGGTTCTCAACTCAGCATATACCTGAGCTAAGGGCAGATGGATGCCAGGAAGTCATTGCTACATGAATTATTTACCCTTACTCAAGATGGCCACTGTCAGAAATGCTAGAGGGGTGTTTTTCAAAATGATTTCTCAGCTAAATAAAGCATAGAGACATGGATGGATGGGGGAGTTTGCTTTGAATATTAAAAATGAAGTAAATAGCATCTTTGGTTTGTGGTACTCAGATGCAGTGCAGTTCCACTGTAAGGCTGTTTTCACACTAATCCATTTTTCTTCCGCTTTTGCGTTAAAAAAAAAAGAAAAAGAAAAAAATAGTTTGACTCTGTATTCCTATGGAACTCTTCACGCGAGTCCCGTGCGTTTTTCAGAGTTCTGATTGCTGCATTTTTGGTACAGGTTTAGTGCAGCTAAAAAAAGAATGCAGCAAATATGCACCTCCTCATCGCAATCAATGGAAAACGCGGCAAAAATGCAGGTGCGTTTTTGGTGCAGTTTTTGAGTCACATGTCCTTTAACCACTTGCCTACAGGGCACTTATACCCCCTTCTTGCCCAGACCAGTTTTCAGCTTTCAGTGCTGTTGCACTTTGAATGACAATTGCGTGGTCATTCAACACTGTACCCATATGAGATTTTTATCATTTTTTTGAGACATATAGAGCTTTCATTTGGTGGTATTTAATCACCTCTAGGTTTTTTATTTTTTGCTAAACAAAGCAAAAAGAACTGAAATTTTGAAAAAAAAAATTTTTTTTCTTAGTTTTTGTTATAAAAGTTTGTAAATAAGTGATTTTTCTCCTTCACTGATGTGCTCTAATGAGGTTGCAATGATGGGCACTGATAGGTGGCACTAGTAGGTGGCACTGATGGGCATTGACAGGCATCACTGATGGGCACTGTTAGGCGGCACTGACTGGCACTGATTGGCAGCATTGATAGGTGGCACTGACTGGCATTGATAGGTGGCACTGACTGGCACTGATAGGTGGCACTGAAAGGCAGCTCAGATGGGCACTGATATGTGGCATTGATGTTCACTGGTAGGCACTGATATGTGGCATTGATGAGGCACTGATGGGCACTGGCAGGTGGCATTGATGAGCACTGACAGCTGGCATTGATGGGCACTGACAGGTGGCTCTGCTGGGGCTACACTGATCATCAGGGCACACTGATCATCAGTGTTCTGATGATCAGTGTACATGTCCCCTCTGAGGGATGCCGATTACCGGTTCTCCTCTCCTCTCGAGCTGTCAGCGTGACAGCTTGTGAGAAGAGAAATGCCGATAACCGGCATTTCCCTATTTACATACGAGCAGCTGTGATTGGACACAGCTGATCACATGTTCGAGCCGACCTCTTCGGCTATTTCCGTTGATTGGTGATCCACTGTGTCCAAGGGACACAGCACACCACCGATCGCCACGTTGCGCACTCCCGGAGCTGCGCACGGGAGGTTACAGTGAGAGGACGTCATATGACGTCCTCTCAGAATGAGAGAACCGCCTTGCGCCCATCCTTACCTTATATGGCGGGCGGGTGGCGGTTAAAAAAATTAACTGCAAACGCGTTAAAAACACATGTGTTTTTTCTGCAGATCAGTGTGAAAGCAGCCTTATTCTCTAGACCAGCGGTTCTCAACCTGGGGGTCGCGACCCCTTTGGGGGTCGAACGACCATTTCCCAGGGGTCGCCTAAGACCATCGGAAAACACATATTTCCGATGGTCTTAGGAACCGAGACACCGCTGCTGTCTCCGGCGATGTGTGGGCGGGATGATATGCTGCCCCTGTCACCGCCTCCTCGCCGCTGATTGGCCACCGGAACTGTAGCTCAGGAGAGGCACACAGGCGGCCAATCACCGGCGAGAAGGTGGCGCTTGGAGAGGAGGAGCCGAGCGGCAGCGCGCGGAGATCGAAGAAGATCGAGGGAGCTGCAGGAACGAGTGAAGAGAGAGGCCAGAGAAGGAAGACAGCTGACAGGTAAGTGCAAATTTTGCTGCTGCAGCCAGGTATGCAGGCTGTAGATGGGAGAGGGAGAGAGCGAGCCAGGCTGGAGCAGGAGTCAGCGAGCGAGGTAAGTATCATTGGTGTCAGTGGAAGGGATAGTGCCCCATCATTTGTGTCACTAATACCAACGATGGGGCACTATTCCTCCCCCCACTGACACCAACGATGGGGCACTATTCCTCCCCTCACTGACACCAACGATGGGGCACTATTCCTCCCCCCACTGACACCAACGATGAGACCGTATTCCTCCCCTCACTGACACCAACGATGGGGCACTATTCCTCCCCCCACTGACACCAACGATGGGGCACTATTCCCCCCCACTGACACCAACGATGGGGCACTATTCCTCCCCCCACTGACACCAACGATGGGGCACTATTCCTCCCCCCACTGACACCAACGATGGGGCACTATTCCTCCCCCCACTGACACCAACGATGGGGCACTATTCCTCCCCCCACTGACACCAACGATGGGGCACTATTCCTCCCCCCACTGACACCAACGATGGGGCACTATTCCTCCCCCCACTGACACCAACGATGGGGCACTATTCCTCCCCCCACTGACACCAACGATGGGGCACTATTCCTCCCCCCACTGACACCAACGATGGGGCACTATTCCTCCCCCCACTGACACCAACGATGGGGCACTATTCCTCCCCCCACTGACACCAACGATGGGGCACTATTCCTCCCCCCACTGACACCAACGATGGGGCACTATTCCTCCCCCCACTGACACCAACGATGGGGCACTATTCCTCCCCCCACTGACACCAACGATGGGGCACTATTCCTCCCCCCACTGACACCAACCAACGATGGGGCACTATTCCTCCCCCCCACTGACACCAACGATGGGGCACTATTCCTCCCCCCACTGACACCAACGATGGGGCACTATTCCTCCCCCCACTGACACCAACGATGGGGCACTATTCCTCCCCCCACTGACACCAACGATGGGGCACTATTCCTCCCACTCATACCAATGATGGGGCACTATTCCTCCCACTCATACCAATGATGGGGCACTATTCCTCCCACTCATACCAATGATGGGGCACTATTCCTTCCACTGACACCAATGATGGGGCACTATTCCTCCCACTGATACTAATGATGGGGCACTATTCCTCCCACTGACACCAATGATGGGGCACTATTCCCTCCCCCACTGACACCAATGATGGGGTACTATTCCTCCCACTCATACCAATGATGGGGCACTATTCCTCCCACTGATACTAATGATGGGGCACTATTCCTCCCACTGACACCAATGATGGGGCACTATTCCTCCCACTGACACCAATGATGGGGTACTATTCCTCCCACTCATACCAATGATGGGGCACTATTCCTCCCACTGATGCCAATGATGGGGCGCTATTCCTCCCACTGATGCCAATGATGGGGCCTATTCCTCCCACTGATGCCAATGATGGGGCGCTATTCCTCCCACTGACGCCAATGATGGGGCGCTATTCCTCCCACTGACGCCAATGATGGGACGCTATTCCTCCCACTGACGCCAATGATGGGACGCTATTCCTCCCACTGACGCCAATGATGGGACGCTATTCCTCCCACTGACGCCAATGATGGGACGCTATTTCCTCCCACTGACGCCAATGATGGGACGCTATTCCTCCCACTGACGCCAATGATGGGGCGCTATTCCTCCCACTGACGCCAATGATGGGGCGCTATTCCTCCCACTGACGCCAATGATGGGGACGCTATTCCTCCCACTGACGCCAATGATGGGGCGCTATTCCTCCCACTGACGCCAATGATGGGGCGCTATTCCTCCCACTGACGCCAATGATGGGGCGCTATTCCTCCCACTGACGCCAATGATGGGGCGCTATTCCTCCCACTGACGCCAATGATGGGCGCTATTCCTCCCACTGACGCCAATGATGGGCACTATTCCTCCCACTGACGCCAATGATGGGCCTATTCCTCCCACTGACGCCAATGATTGGGCACTATTCCTCCCTGACGCCTGACATGACTGACGCCAATGATGGGCACTATTCCTCCCACTGACGCCAATGATTGGGCACTATTCCTCCCACTGACGCCAATGATTGGGCACTATTCCTCCCACTGACGCCAATGATGGGCACTATTCCTCCCACTGACGCCAATGATTGGGCACTATTCCTCCCACTGACACCAATGATTGGGCACTATTCCTCCCACTGACACCAATGATGGGGCTCTATTCCTCCCACTGACACCAATGATGGGACACTATTCCTCCCATACTGACACCAATGATGGGGCACTATTCCTCCCACTGACACCAATGATGGGGCACTATTCCTCCCACTGACACCAATGATGGGACACTATTCCTCCCACTGACACCAATGATGGGGCACTATTCCTCCCACTGACACCCAACGATGGGACACTATTCCTCCCACTGACATCAGATGATGGGGCGCTAGTCCTCCCACTGCAAAATTACAGTTATGAAGTAGCAACAAAAATAATTTTATGGTTGGGGGTCACCACAACATGAGGAACTGTATTAAGGGGTCGCGGCATTAGAAAGGTTGAGAACCACTGCTCTAGACTTTAGTAGATACTCTGTCTCTAAAGCACTGTACAGTCTGATTCTACAGATTGTACTTTGGATGCAGAAAAAAAGCACACTGAAATGTATGTAGTGTGAACTGGCCCTTAATGCAAATTGCTAGGCAGTCTTTTTTTTTTCTTCAGGATAGCTGGTAAGTGTGCAGGTATTCATTTGTTTGTGCTGCGTGAAGTTATTCCATGTGCACCTTACTTTTAAGACAGGTATAAATTGGGGAGGATAACATTTTGGTATATCTTGTTTACACAGGCTCACTGGACCTTCTGGTCCACCTGTAGTATGTACAAACTCTGCCACACGTATTTCTTAGCCGTGGGTCTAACAGATTGGGCATAGGTTCCCAACACCCCACGGTTCCTGTGTATGATTGTACATAGTATACAATACGGTCATTTACTGATTATCAATTTTTTCATTTGTTTTCTCACTGCTCACTGGCCTTGGGACGCCAGTAGTCATGTCAACTGCTTAGCTATCATTCTGTGCCTTCTTTTTGTTAGGTCCTCTCTTCCAACACATAATTCAGGAATCTGCTCACCAGTTAGTATCACTGTACATGCATGTGATCAAGATGGAGCATGTACTGTTTGGAGAAAATATGCAGAAGGGTAGTCTTTTATGTACATTAACTGGTGTCAAACATGATTATGTTTTTAGTGAATTTTCTTTTTTTTTTTATTACCTCTTTTGGCTTTTTTCCCCCAATTCTCACCATTTGTTTCTGTGTTCTGCTGCTTAGGAGTATTACATAGAACATTACATGGACAGGAATGCACTGACCTAAGGTACCCTCTCTCGATGACAATTACGGATTATTTGGTGTTCCTGCATTGCTAATGACCAGGGGCGGACTGACCATTTGAGCACTCGGGCACTGCCGAGGGCCTGGGGTCAGTAGGGGGCCCCATGAGATGCCCCTGGTACCTTTCATTGGCTTTTTCATAGGCTTTTTTGGGTATGGGCTAGGATACGGGGGCCCCATGATCCCTTATTGCCAGGGGGCCCCATGAGTTGTCAGTGCGCCCCTGTTAATGACTATACACAGAGCCTTCTTGACTTAAATATTATTATTTTTATACAGGATTTATATAAGCGCCAACAGTTTGTACAGCACTTTACAAATAGAAGGTAGAAATAACAATTACAATACAATTTGGTACAAGAGGAAACAGAGGGCCCTGCTCGTTCGAGCTTACAATCTAGGAGGAAGGGTTGAGTGATACAAAAGGTAACAGCTGTGGGGGGATGAGCTGATGGAGGAAATAAAAGGCAGTTTACTAGTTAGAAACAGGATAGGCTTCTTTAAAGAGAACAGTTTTTAGGGATCGTCTAAAGGTGGCTAGATTGGGAGATAGTCGGACAGATTGGGGGAGGGAATTTCATAGGATGAGAGAAGCTCAGGAGAAGTCCTGGAGGTAAGCATGGGAGGAGGTGACTCGGGAACTAGGGAGCAGAAGGTCTTGGGAGGATCGAAGACAGAGGTTTTGATAGATATTTTGAGACCAGGTTAGTGATGTAGCTGGGAGCAGAGTTGTGGATGGCTTTGTAAGTTGTTGTTAGTATTTTGAATTTTATTCGTTGGGTGAGTGGAAGCTAGTGGAGGGATTGGCAGAGAGTGGTAGCAGGCACTGAACAGTTGGTAAGGTGGATGAGTATTCATAATGGACTGGAGGGGGGAAAGGCTATGTAAAGGTAAGCCAATGAGGAGGGAGTTGCAGTAGTTGAGGCGAGAGACAACCAGGGAGTGAATTAGGAGCTTTGTGGTATCATTGGTT